AGGAATGTGTCTGCTGCCCTTTTGACACAGGGTCTGATACCATCTTCAGGGCCATGGGGAGGGCAGAGCCCTGGACGTGGCATTCACGTACTCTACTGCTGGCCTGGCTCCTATTTTTATCATGGCATGGCTCTGGGCATCTAGGCAGGGACCTGGTCCAACTTCTTCTCATTCCTTTACTCTACATCAGACTCCAAAATAATCTCAACCCTTACCTTGGCTGGATCTTCTTGCCCCAAACCTTCTATCATCAATGGAGCACAGTACATCTTTCTTCCTTCCCTTTAACCCAGGCTAGTTCTGAGTACTTTTCCAATTCCCTAAGCCTGATTTTGATGCATATAGGAATACTGTCAAGTTTCTTCTGTTTTCGGACATGAGCAGAGTTCGCACAAGCTGGATTTGCTCCTTGGCTTAGTTTGCTCCCCCCCCCATCCCTTCCCCTTCCAAATAAGGAGCGCTCCTTGTTACATAATTGGACCTTCCCAGCACAGAAGCTGACATACGAGGTCAGGCGCGCATGCGTGTAAGACTTCCCTTTGACTTAACAATGCCTTTTTTGGGCATCTAACTTCTCTTAGCTCCCCTCCCTTACTCTCTCCACACCATCAACAAACAAGAGAGATTTATAAGTCTGGCTCAGAACAGAACTCCTCCAACTTTCACTTGGAAAGAGGGGTCATGAGGTTAAATTTACTCTTTTTTTTTTTCCTGCCTTGTAGGCTAAGGAGAGAATATGCTTATAATTTGGCAGAAGTCCCTGGAGTCCAAGGGAGCTGTGTATATAGGTCTTTTAAGGGAGCAAGGAGAGTAAAGAAAGCTGGAAGCAGAATAAACTTGTCTTCTTGGAAATAATATGAGGTTGGAAAATGAGGCTGTTTTAAGGAGGAGATACATCTAAATCCAGGTGGCTGTATTATTCCTGATGCCCAAACTGCTGTATGTTTATGATAATTAGCGAAGTGGACGCATTCACCTGAGGTACTGACACAAGATATTACTGCTCCTTAAATCACAGAATTTAAAGGAAGAGAAACCTAGTACCCTTCAAAAGGACATGGCTTAGCTAACTGTGTTTTCAGAGAGAACAAACATGTGGCCTCCTGGATGGCAGTCATGGGGACATTGGGGACACTGGGACCTCATATCACACCTCTTGTGGGGGAGTGGTCAGGGTAGGTGCAGAGGGGAGGGTGCTGTAGCTCTAGATATCAAGTTCCTGGCTTATTTGCTTACTAAAGCAAATAAAGGACTACGTAAACTACTTTTTAAAAATAAAAACTGCAAGCTGCCCAGGGAATAGTAATACAGGCTGACTTTAGGAGGGAACAGTGTTCTTTTTGTTACATGTGAGATATAATTTGATTCTATAAACTATCTGATAATCTCTTCTTGGGGAATGTTTGCTACTCAGAGTGAAAGATTTTTGGGTTGGCCTTATCCTTCAAATTATAGGGCAAAGGTTCTGATCCTGAAAATTAAAGAATCATTATAGCTAAAAATTAGAAAAAACTGGGTTGAAATTTTATGTGTGCTATTTTGACCTGTCATCTTGATGTAATAACGCAAATTCTTTGCAAATCGTAGTTTCCCCCATGTTAGAAGTAGGATTCATAATACCTATTCCATATGGCTCTTAAAGAGATTAAATGATAGAATATGTTTGAAATGTTTAGTCCAATGTTTGTGTGAAATAAGACTCTCAACAAAAGCTTGCAGGATAGTAAATACCTTGCTGATGAGATGATCAATCTCTACACTCTGAATTTAGAAGTAAGGCCCATCTTTTCCATGTCTACCATATATCCAGGGACTTGTTGGTATGAGACAATGGCCATGAAGGGCAAATCGTTGGGCCTCTGGAGAGGGAATTGGTTCTTTCTTCATACACTATGACTTATTACTTCCTATCTAAAGGAGGCTTCTGGAACACTGTGAAATCAGCACAAGATTCTTGAGAAGAGGATCAAAAATGTAAAGTGAATAGGGATTTACAGGGGAAGACAGAAGGTCTTGAAAGGGGAAGGATGAGATTCTTGTCTATGGAAGCACAGGATGAGGAGAGTGCCAGCTAGCTATAGTTCTATTTCCTTGTAGCTAACAGAAAATGAAATGGTCTAAGGATAAAGTTAGACTAGATATAAATAAGAACTTTTGGGGCTGGAAGAGATATACCTAAACAGGTTACAAAATACCATTATTTAGAAATACCTATCATGACCATGTTTAACAGTCTATAGATACAACAAGGTTTTCAAAAGCAGCCACAAATCTCTGTTCTTGTACAATATTTACCAAATACATTCACAATTTCCTGTCTTTCTAAATAGTGATGGCATTCCATAAGAAAACAGAAAAGAAAACCAGGAATGAAAAGTGAAGAGCAAATCAAGAAAAATTCAGGAGCAAGCCCTCTCTTTGATATAATTTATAGCATGAGTTGCATAAAGGTTTTGATAGTTTTCATTTACCAGTTGTGTATATATCTAGCTAACTGGATCTAGCAGAAGTGTCAAGGGATGGGGACAGAAAGGTGAAGAACTTAGCTTGATTCCAAAGCTTTCCTATTAGAACAGATTTCAGTAGTTCTCCCCACCCAGGTGGCCAGGAGCACCAGGAAACCTGGAAAACACTATGGAACTATGTACTTCACATGTGCTTGTTGGTACTGGACAGGAGCCCAGGTGTTCTGCTTCCTAATGTAAGACTGGGAGTGCTATGGTTGTTGCTTTAACAAATGGGACCACTGGCACAAAATCACTTTGAAAGGCCTCATAAAGCCTTCATTATTTAGAAGCCCAACTCTGTGTGGCTCAGAGAGATGGGCACAAAAGGGATGGTGATAACTGGCAGAAGGAGACTGGTATGGGGTGATGTATCTAGAAGACATAAAAAGTGAAGCTAATTTTCAGCTACTAGTTGAAGGCATTAGAAACAAAATATGTTTTATTATTCTTCTTTTCTGAAGAGCAAATATTAAGAACTATCGTTTACTAGACATCTTGAGATAGCATTGTTAATTCTGTTTTCCAGATAAGGAAACCAAAGCTCAGAAAATTTAATTATAGAATAATAGCTTACTGGAGTAGATAAGAACTTGGGCTTTTGAGCAGCTTGGTTTGAATGGTGGCCCTACCACCCATTAGCTTTGTGATTATGTGTAAGGCCCTGAATTTCAGCACTCAACCTCTTTAAATTTAAATTTATTAAAATATAATAAAGTAGGGATCATGCCTATTTTGTTCACTATTGACCAGCTTTTGGTAATATACATTTTTTTCCCCTGTGAACAAAGAAGCAAGATCAAAATCAATCCCCAGGTGTATAAAGAGAGACAGAAGCATTTAAAGGTAAAGTGGGACAAATGCCACAAAACCGCCTGGCCAAATCTGTACCATCAAGCCAAGAAAGAGTTCAGACTAGGAAACACAACTATTATTTCTTTAATCCTACACACTCCCCACTAAGGGTATGCAACCTGGCTTAGAAGTTTCTCAGCCTATGTTTGACTACTGAAAGTCTATCCCATGTCTACTGTACCTCTTGGGACTTACTTCCCTTGTATTTAACTTTCCTGCTTAGATTTCCAAGGATCCTCTCTATGTGAGATATCAGTTCTTCCATAATCTTACTATAATTCTCAGGATCTAGTTCTCTCTCTCTTTTTTATCTGGACTGGCCCAAGCCATTTCATTTTCTGAGCTACTCAAACTTTAAGGCAAATTTCCCCCTACCTTTTAAATATAGATCTTAATCTTTTCTAAGTCTCTGCTGATGCACCTATACTTTTTTTTTCCCTTTTACACACATTTATCAGGCACCTACTATGTGTTATGCATGGAAATAAGCTGGACAACATAACAATCCACAAAGCAAATATGGTCTTGCTTGCCCCTGGTGTTCAGTCAGCAGAGGTGGACAACTAAGCAATCAGCAAGTTAGAAAGGCCCAGATGCTATGAAGCAAAGTGGGAAGCAGATGGCTGGGAGCTTCCCTGAGGTGACTGGGAGAATGGGAAGACCCTCAGGAGGGTAGAGGGAGTAAAGGGCAATGGCCCGCCAGTGACTTGGAACAGGAAGGGTGTGGCCAGGTTTCCAGTACATAGGGACTGACTGGGGTGAGAGTGGGGTCACCACAGGAGACCAGGCAGGATCTGTGGCCCTTCTCTTGCATGAAATAACCGTAGGTCTGTGGGTACGCAGCTCCTCAGAGCCCTTCCACCTACACTTTTAAACTCCTACTGAACAATTTCTTATGTTCTGAAATTAATTCATCAAGTAAAAGACTACAGGGGAAGGGGTGTTATAAAAAATCACATATTATCTATTTGTAGGATCTTTACATTTTTAAAAAATATTTGGGAGATAAGCAAAAGAAAGTCTGACAGAGAAAGCAGAGACATGGAGGCCTAATAAGCAAGAGTCATAGGGGACTGAATAAAACATTAGGAAACTATATTTTTAAGTATAAAGTATAAAGGGTAATGTTTTTTCTTTTATCAAATATTTAATGAATCCACTATGCCCCTGTCCTTGTGTAAGTTGCTGGGGATACAAACTAGTTCAGGTCTAGGGCAGGGTTTCTAGTCTAGGGCAGGGTTTCTCAATCTAAGCCTACAAACATTTTGGGAAGGATATTTCATCATCGTTAGTGAGGGAAGAGCTTTATATCAACAACAATGATCTGTTTTCTCCATTTTTTTAAAATAGTTAATCATCACAGTAACTCCAGGTCTGGGGACATAAAAGGAGAACAGATCCCAGAGAAGACAGAGTTAAACAAAAGTCTATTAAGATCACAGCAGTGGTGTTGGGGCTGGGGCTTTCTGATAGTCTTCTGGCAATATTCATCCCTGCCCTGTAGCAGACAGCCTACCTTTTCTTATGGCCACAATTTTCCTGGACTCTACACACTTACCCTTCCAAGTATAGAAGTCACCATTGTGTCCAATTTCCATGCAATTTGAGAACCTGACATGAAGGAGAACTTAGCAACCTTACCTTTGAATTAGGGTCCCAAAGATAAGATGAAGAAATTTCTGCATGTTTTCAGTACATAGCCATTTCCACTGTTTCATTAACAGCAAGAGGATTAGATTCAGGGCTGTGTCAGCTAACTCTGTTTCTGTTCCTGAGGGACAAAAAGGCATAAAATTAACTAAGAAGAAACCCCCAATTGAGGATATATTTAATGCACTGGTGGCACTCGGGTCTTCTCTAGCTTCATATCCATCATCTTGGACTTTACTTTTTAATCCCTCTGCACTGAAATGAAGAGACATGTACTTCATACCTAGAAAGTTCAGTGATAGGCTCTGTATGTATTCATAATTCTTCGGTTAATGAATAAGTGTTCTTACTTTTTAAAAAGATTTTACATATATTTTATTTTACCTACCTAGCTTCTGTTTCTCCTTTATTTCCCCAGGTTGCTGAATTCATCTTGTTCCAAGTAAGAGCTCACAATTGGTGACTAACTGGAACTGGCAAAACTTTGTCTCTTCCTTGCCTTCCACTCGCCCCCACAATTCATCATGGAAATGTTGTGGGCAGAACTAGGGAAAGATTTGGGCTTCATTCTCCTGCAAAGCCTTGTTTTGACAGCATCTCCATTACATAGAGCTGTGGGGTTGAGATTCAGGAGGCTCCAGTTTGATTCTAAGATAACATGTGGTTCTAGGAAGAGCTCCACACCTCTGGTAAAGTGCCCTGACATTTACTGATTTCTTCCCTGTTTTGAAGACTTCTGGAAGGGCCACAAATGAACCTACACTCATGCTAACCTGGAGTTTCCAAACACATGTATTTTATGGAGTGAAACATCCATTTTCTAAACCTTTGTGTGGTGGGGGGACATCACTTCTGATTTGCTTTCTGGAGATTTCCTAGGAACACATAATATTCCACAGTAAATCTGAGGTTTCTGTTGCTATTGTTATATTTAATATTATAATTAATCATCAGCAATAACTTTGTTAGTCTAGGACTAACTGGACTTGCCTAAGCTCACCTCATTTAAGGGTCCTCTAGACATGAAAAAAAAAGGCAGTATCTCACAAAAACAGAAGGGAAACCAATAAAGTAGAGGAAGAGGATTGAGAGGAAGGGAGAACGGAAGGGCATAGGGAATTTGGGGGAATGAAATCTACTAAATTATTCTGTCTATGTATGAATATATCACAATGAATCTGCTTATGTACATAATCATCATCATCATAATTATCATCATAATATAGAGATAGAATAGAGAAAATGAATCAGAGGAAGAGAAAAGATGGAAAGGAAAGGTACTGGGAGGTGAGATTAATCAAATTATTATGTGCATGTATATATATATTGCATTATGAATTCCACTGTTATGTATAATTATAATGTATCAATAAAAAAAGAATATAAGTGATTTGGATAGATCTGCTAGAATTGAAACCCACTTCCTTCTAAAGGCCATCTAATACATACTTCCTTTTTCTAAATTATATTTCTAGTGGGCATTTGGCTGATGAACTGCTTTATGACTAGCTAAAAGCTAGAAAAGCTCAGGTATAAACTATCCATTTAAAAATACTATATTCAAAATGTATAGGGTTGATTTGGGCTAGAGTTATATTGTTTCACCAATCCCTTTTATCTGAAATTTACTCAAAGATGGGCTATTCCATTCCAATTCCTGGGAAATAGAATTCTCCTCTATCCAACTACTTTTACTCTCTCAGTTTTTCTATTTGCTTGAAGCTGCCACCATGTGGTAACACTCAGTCATAGCAGTAAAAAACAATAAGGCGAACAAGGTACTGCCAAGTCCTCTGGAAGAAAATGATACGTTTTCTATCATATGAACACTTTTGAGTCTCTCAGAGCTAAAGAAGAAAAGCTCAGGTATAAACTATCCATTTAAAAATACTATATTCAAAATTTACAGGGTTGATTTGGGCTAGAATTGTATTGTTTCACCTATCCCTTTTATCTGCAATTTTTTAGAGTTTTCTGATGCTTTTATTATCATACTACTTCATTTACCTAACCAATGAGATACATGTGAAGGGGTGGGATTTTAAACCCCCTTTTCCACATATTTAAATTGAAGTTCATAGAGCAGAGGTAAGGTGATTTGTCCATGGTAACCTGAAAGACAACAGTAAAATTGGCTTTTTTCCTTCTGAACCCAAGATTTTGTGATCTTTTGTTCTCACTAGAGGTCTTTTTCTTGGTGGAATTGATGTACTTTTTTCTTTTAAGTTCTAGTTAAGCAAATACTAATTAATATCCAAGGCTCCAATTCTTCCTTTGTTGAATGCATCTTCCTTTCTTCTCCTGGGAAGCAAACCAATCCTGCCTCAAAGGATATAAAGGGGAAGTGAACCTAATCTCTTCTCTTTCCCTTCTCTGGCTTAGGAAACAATGTAGTATCATTTGTCATAGCAGTAAATACAGAAGGGAGAGATTCAGGAAAAAAGATGAATTCTATCTTGAACATACTGTATTTCAGCTGCTCTGTGGTCTGTTCACATGGAGGTGTATAATATCCAACATTTATGCATTATTGGCATATGTATGAGAGTAGAAACCAACAGTACAGTTGGGATTACCTAGGGACAGCATGAGGGGAAGAACAGAGAGCCCAAACCAAGGCTACAGAGGTTTGGTGGGGAAAACAAAAAAAAGTGGGCCCAAAAGGGACCACAAGGAGAGGGAAAGAAAACCAGAAAAGGGGTACCACAGACACTGAGGGAAAATTCTAGATAAAGACAATGGTCCCATGTACCAGAGTATGTTAAAAATATTTTAAGTTATTATACAAATGGATCTTCTGCTGGGTTACAAGTCCCTGTGTCTGGGCCTGCCTGGCTTCACTATTTGACTTGGCTTTAGGGACTGTGTTATACTCTACACTAGAGTTCAACATGTGGCTTGCTCAATTAAAGACAAAAGATATTAAAGCTACAAAGTGCACCTATCCCAAGTTCTTATGGCTCCCTTCTCTGTAGGAGTAGAGACCTTTCCATTTACCTGCATCACTGCTGCTGAGGTCCTGGGATAGCATGGTTGTACCTGACAAGCAATCACCCACATAGTCTTTGGAGATTTGTTCTGGATCTTTTACTGGGACTTCTGTTGGCTGCATTTCCAGTAACTTTGTCTGCTTTTCAATAAAGGATTCCATCCCAGACATGGATAGGATCTCTGACTCCTAAAGAAACAGCCAGTGGCATATGACATAAAGAATGCAGAAAGTACAGAAGTAAATGCAGCACTACAGGTTTCCCTAAAATTTTTGTGCAGACTCTGGAGACTCTACCAAAGTACCATGAGTATAGAACCCACTGACCCTAAGGCCACTATAAAAGTTTCTTTTTTTTTTTTTAACCCAAATTTCAAGCTTCCCTGGGATTATCACTTTTGCACACATTCTTGGTCATCTGTTCTCTTCTATAAATTGGTTTTTCTTCTCATCCTGTCATTCTTAATTCTGAACCCACTACCTTAAGAAGCCAACCTGCCAACCCACAACAATTAGAATTCAAAAGCACTCAAGAGAAAATACTTTTAAATGTGAGACCCGGATGTTAGTTAAGTTCTTGGCAAGACACTTCAGTTCTTCCTGACTTGAGAGAATGTTTCAATTACCTATAACTATAGAATCAACACCCTGGGTCTTGATTCCTACAGTCCTCTGGGCTTTGGGGCTTACCACATTGCGCTCCTGGAGACAATAGAGAATCTTTTCATGTACTTCATTCACACTCAGTGCTGGAGAAATTTTGCTGGATGAGAACCTCAGTCTAGACCTAGTACAGCAATAAAGGGCAGAAACAGAATATAGTTTGTGGTCTTTATTTCCATACAAAGAGCTGGCCAGAATTGATAATACATAAAAAAAAAATTAAAAAAAAAAAACAACCCACACTTATTCTTAGGGGCTTATGGTACTCAGAGTTGCCAGGAAAGATTTGGCCCTGAAATCTTCCAAACAATATATATTCTGGCATTTCTTCATAGACAGTATACATACTATGCACACATTAAAAATTTGTTGAAGGCTAAACAGACAAAAAAAGAGACTGAGTGAAAATTCTAGATACCCTTTTTGTTGTGGGTACCCTTTTTGTTTTGGACAACCATTTATTCCCCTTGTATTCCAAATAAAATCAGAGAAGGGATTGCCAAGTGATAAATCTCAATGTTTCAAGAGATAGAGAACAAATAAGCACAGGCACAATGGTCATCTTATAAAATATGGGTCAATTAAAAAAGGCTAACTATTGTGAGTCTGGCATTGCTGGATTTTAACATGAACACAAAGACAATGGCAGTCAGACACGCACATATATACTTTCTCTTTCCCTATGGGCCCATATTCAGATGAAATTTCCAGTAAGATTAAGTGTGGTACCCTTGCCTTCCACATGTTGGTGTGGAGTGATGCCAAGGAACAACTGGGACGCTAGTGCAGGATGCAATAGCAGTCAACCAGTTACCAAAATAGACCCTGCAGGTTTCTATTCTACCCTTTTCTTGTTTATTGTTAGTATATGAAATTTCTGAGCCAAGATTACCAGAAATGACAGCAGAGATGAGTTATGAGCCTTAATTCATAATAGGAAAAAAACCCTCAAAATATCAGAAGATAGAAAAGAGAATATCCATAGTCTACAGTATTCCTTCTAGTAAACAACAACAACAAAAATCCTTGGTCAGCTGAGTGCTGGGTTCCTGCTCTAGGGGTGTGCTAAGTAGCCCAGAGTCTGGCTTTGCCTAAAAATTTTTATGTGTGCCCCACCTCCTCTTCCTCCTCCTCTTTTCTAGGGCTTGAGAATGAGGTAGGCTTTGGTTGAAGATTGAGGATCAACCTGATAACTGGGGGAAGGGTTTCTGGGCCACCGAAGGTTCTTACTTGCTAGCCTTCTTGCCTTCTGTCTGGGACTTGCTTTCGTTCTCGGCCTCACTCAGCTCCTCTGTGGGGCTCTGGGGTTCAGAGCGAGGAAATGCTGTCTTCAAGGTATCCACAATAGCATTCACCACCATCTGCAGGGGTCAGAGGTGCAGGGTTAGTACAACCATTTACATCCCCAGATGGAAAATGCCAAACAGAAAAGAAGTCAGCTCATTGTGCCTTACGCAATAAGATGAGTAGAGAGCCAGGCTATCTAGCAGAGCCTCATCCATTAGGAAAGCCAAATACTTGCCAATAAAAATAATCTTCCCTTTTCTCTATGACCATCAATATCCTTTTCCTTGCAGAATAAAACAAACAATGCCATGGGGGAAAGAAGCCAAAACAAACAGTGGAGTAAATAATAACCTAGGAGTTCTGCAGGTTGGTGACTTCCTTTTTATATAAAAAGGTGGTCTCTAGTTTCTAAATTGATATAGCCTTCAATAAGATGGAACAAGTGGAAGTAATATAAGGAAAAAAAGAAGAAGAAAAAAGATGATCAGAAATAAAAAATACAGTCTAGGGACATAAATAATATAAACATGCTTTGGGTAATTCACACAGACCAAAGAATTTTTTTTTTTGTAGTTGAGTTAAATAATTTCTAATAGTAAAGAAAGAATGAAAATCATTGGGATCAAAATGAAGAAATCTAGAATTGATATAAAATTTTCCAGCCATAAATAAAACCAAATAATTTTCAATGAAGAATTATCTCTATTTCTCAGAATGGGAAAATGACAAACATATATTTACTAAAGAAGACATACAAAAAAACAAAATCCTGAAACTTTTATGACAAGGAAAGAAACCATTCCTTTTCCTTGGTGTCTCTTGTTCTTTAACACTGCAGGAACAGCATATGCCTTCTTTGAGACATTCTTGGACGATCCTGCACAAGGAGCACAGTACAGCTAAGACAAGGTGGAATAGACAAGAAGGCTACAGTGGAGAGTAGAGAACAAGCCAGGGAAGGAACACAGAGGACAGCATGAAGATAGATAATGTAGCTCAGGAAATACAACTTGCTCTTTAAGCTCAAGAACTACAGTCTGTAGGAGGGTCCTAATTTGTCTCATCCACTTTTGCATCACTAGCAATTGGAACAGTGCCTGACTCAAAACAGGCATCTAGTAAGATGTTGAAACAATCAATGAATGAATATATCTACATGGAACTCTGGGAGTTTTAGTTAGATGATCCCTTTGTAGTCTGTGGTTTATCCCACATAGCAGTGGATGTCCTCTGGCACCTACCACATGAAATTCCATTTTATTTTGTGCTCCCAAGCCTAGGTGAGAAGAAAGAAGCCCTTCTTCTGCCAATGAGACATTGTAAAACAAACCATCTTCTGATGAACATAAATCTCAGGCTTTTGTCCTGCAGACTGTGATAACAGCTGGTAATCATACCTTATAAGTTCTTAAGTATTCCAGATTTCCTTCTCCTACCATCTCCATGGGAGCTGAGAGACCCTCTTGAATAAGTACAGTTCTTTGAATACTCTGTTTTCCATCAGAAAATCACATCAACTGAAATCCAGGTCAGTGTCCTGCCTTGGAGCTCTCTTTCCTGATGACCACACTAGGAATGACCTTTCCCGCAAGAAGAGAATCCCTACAATTATCCATGGATCTTCACTTGATCCTTACATGCCTCTACTGCAGGAACAATCAACATTTCCCTAGGAGATGTGTGTACACTTAGAGTCAGGGCTACTATCACCTAATAGCTGCTCACTGTGATTTGGCAAGTTGATGATCCAACCAATATTTGGCAACATATCTTAAAAATTCTAGTCAATGTTCTACTGACTCCTGTGTGCCACCTTGCCCTATACCCTATCTCTCTTATTTTTCAGATACTGCCTCTGTTCTGATGAACACTCCACATCTGCAGAGAGAAATTAAAGCTGAGTATAGCAGCTTTGCTAGTACCTTATCTATTCTGGAGACCATAAATGGTTTCTTGACAAAGGCAATTCGAGCATCTGTGTTCAGAGCAAGAAATTCCTGCACCTCTTCACTGTTAGCGATTTCAGGAATGGCACAGAGTTGCTGCAAAATTAAGACAGAAGGATTTTAGAGAAATTCCAGTTCCTAGATCTCTCTGCCTTGGCTTGGGTGGGCAGGAGTCAGAATGAGGGCAAAGACAAAAATGATACTAACCTTGAGGAATGATTCCAGAAGGCTCTTTCGGGCTTCCACTCTGTCACTATCCATGTTGCCAAATGGAAGATCTGGAAAGAGCTTTTTAGGACCTTTCACATCTCCAAAATAAAACAAAAATACCTCCTTTATTTAACATTCATAGAGAGTTACCCTATATAAAAGAGTTATTGAATATTTTTTTTCTGACATTTTTTTTTTTAATTTCAGGAGTTCCAAATATGCTCCCAGGATGTAATATACAGAATCTACTCCCACTACTAATATAAAGAGACCAATTGATATAGTTAGAAGAGAGGGCTTTGAAGTTCGATCGATCAGTTTTGGGGCTCCAATCCCTAGTATAATGATGACTGCAGGAAAATTGCATAATCTTTCTGTAACTTTGTCTTTTTTCTGTAAAAGGAAGATGATGGTATCTATCTCATAGGCTATTAAGAGGATTAAATTAACTAACAAGAGAACCTGATCCATGTATTCAAGCTTGATTCAGTATTAGCTATTGTTACTAAGAAAGAAAATAAACAATTATGCCCATAGTTATTAATATATTTATTTGGACCAGAATCAGCATTTTTTTAAAAAACAAAGTAACCAGTGACTAGCTCATATTTATAGTTGAGTTTTATTACACTTTCTTATTTTCCCTGGGCCTTGGAAATGTCAAACAGCACACAAAAGGCCTGGTTGTTAAAGGAAAGGAAGTGACATGAATTTCTGTATAATATTTTAATATTTAAAAGTGAATAATCTATTTTCTGGAAAAGTTATAATGTCTCACTCTATCTTATGGGCACAGATAGAAATTTGAATGCATTTAGCAGCAAAGGACTACCTCAGAAAGAATGTAATCAGAGCTGTCTAGCACAAAACCCTCAAACTTTCAAAGCAAATTTGGGGAAGAACATCAATGCTGTGTTATCCTCTCCACAAACCCATAGGCTACCAATCATTCAGTTTAGTGTGGCTAGATGTGAAAAGCAAGCAGCCAGTCAGGGACTGGGCAATTCCTAACTTTTGATGAACTTTCGTAGATCTGGTTTCTCCTCCAGGCGGGTCTGCAGGTTCAAGAATTCCCGGTATCGGCGGTTCACAGTGTGGTAGGCCAGCTGCTGCAGGGCACTGCTGTTCTCACTGTTAAAAGCTGTCTCATACTGTTGAAGGAACAGATTTATTGACAGAATCAGCCAGGTTTAGGCAATCTTCTATTCTGGATTTAATGAAAACATGTTCAATGGCTACACAGTAATAGCACAGTAGGGATAAAGGGAGGGAGATATTCCTATTCTTTTATAGAACCTAACACATCTGATTGCTGCCCTGGGTTGAAATGAATAACTCAAACTCCAAGGAAGCTGAACTGAAGAATGAGTTCCTAATATATGTGGCCCAGAATGTCAGAAATGAATTTCATTCCTCCCTCCCTCAAATATTTACTTTATCTACAAAAATGGCTACATCACTATTATTCAAATCTCAAAAGGTGAGTATAAAACAGAAGGCATAACACCTATAAAAAATGCTAACTCTATCACCCCTAAATTACAAACTGGACCTTATTAAGGGGAAAACCATTTTGCTTTTATACTCATTCAGGGATGATTTCTATTAATTGGGGGAAGAACAAATAATTCCAAACAATGAACATAAATCATTTGTTTGCGTGCAATGAATTAAAAGAACATGTGTTTTAGTTTTGCTCTGGATAGATTAATCTTCCTAGTTGTTATTTTTAGGGGTTAAAAAATTTTTCCCCCTAAGCACATGACATATGTATTAGAAGTTTTTTTTCCCCCCTAAGCACATGACATATGTATTAGAAGTCAAGTGATGACTGGAGATGTTGTTAAAGTCTGTTGCCTTTGAATGCTTGGAGGGCTTGTATGTGGAATGATGACTAGTTTTTGTATGTTCCCAGAAAAGTGAGCACCGTGAACAACATGAAAGCTATGACTCAATACAGAGGAAAACTTTGTCTCTGACAGAGTAGTTAAGATACAAGGAACTGTTATGCTTGCTCTTTTTAGGAATAGACTAATTATGAGTAGGTTATTATTGTTTGGTATATTACTATATTGTGGCAAGTGATAGAAAAAACTATCCCATTGTTGGTAGGACTTGGTGGTATTTTAAACTTTTTTATAGCTAGAGAAGCAGGGGTACTCACTATGAATTGAAGAGAGAAAGTAAGTTCCTGAGACCAGTACTCAGAAATAAAGACACAGGTAGAATTCAGGGGAGGGCTCTCAGAGAAACTAGGAGTTGTAATCTTTCTGAGGAATATTCTGCTTATTGGGGGACAATATTCAATACTGATGTGTTCACTTCTATCATACAAACTAAAACTGGTTTACAATCAGAAAGTAAAATAACTTTGAAATCAAGTTAAAATCATAGTTACATTATGTCCTTTTGAAAATCTAAGGCCAATCTCAAACTATTCATAATTGACTATATTATTTTGTTGCTCATTTTCCACCTTACCCTTTTTTCAGTGATAATTGAAGTAGGTAGTAACTGGTGTCAAAATTTAGCAATAACAAAAACAGTAAGTGGGAGAAAGATTATGACTTAATAATTCTCTCCATTAAATTTTCTGCTAATGAAGAGGAAAAATAATTGTTGTTTAATATCAGTGTTAGAATATATCATAAATAGAAGATGGAAGAATCAGAAGCTGACGCCTATTTGTGAGAAAGGTGCATGTCATTGGGACATATGGAATTAGAACAAAAAGGCAGGCAAAATGTTTACATCTGTCCTTTGAGACTAGCCAGAGTTATTACATGACAGATGTCTATACTTGTAAAACTTGTCTATTTTATAAGGAGTGTTTGTGTGTATGTATAAATATATGTACTTGCATGTTTATGATTCTGTTGTCTTAACTTCAAAATGTCTTGTTAATTTTCAAAATGCTGTTATGATGCAACTGAGTTCAGCAGATTAGGGAAGGCCCTTTTCCTATTAACAGGACTGGGATTTTGAGGATGAGAGTGTTAGCAGTATCCAGGTACATGCCTTATGGAAGTTTTTGGACTCAATGAGAAAAGCAAGGAAAAAGCAAGTAAAATACAACAGATAGGGTCTTGCCCAGGAATTCTTTTTCCAAACTTCTTCCCTGCTACATTCTTCTTAAAAAATACTAGTATCATTTGAACTTTGTTTTTGGAAGGCAGATTATTTACCTCAGAAGATAGGAATTTTTTTATTCCTGAAGACATTTAAGCACAAACTTGGAAACTATTTGGAAGAGATAATAATAAAGGAAGCTGCTTAGAGAAGCTGATTCCCTCCAAATAGCTTGAAGTCAAGGTGTCTTCACGTTGCCTGGAAAGTCTTATTTTTAAAATATATAGAACCCTGGACTCTACTTTGGACATTCTCCTTCAGAAATTGTCAGGGTCTATCAGAATCAGTGTATTTAAAAAGCAGCCCAAGTGATTCTGAGGTACAGCCAAGATTGGAAACTAGGGTAAAACCCTGAGCTTCTAGATTATTTGTATAGGAATAGGGTAAGAGCCTACTCTGCCTTACAAATTAGCTTCAGGCCATTCACATACAGATGTTTGTTGAATTAAACATAGCAAACTAAAAGTCATCTCCTGAGAGAACATTACATTTGCTGACTCTGATTTCTGATTACATTTCCAGCCCATGGTGGGTACCTGTAGCTTGAATTCTGTTACCTTTACAGTGTAGAGTGTATACGGGTGAAATCCAGTGCCACTGTGCTCTCGGGCAGTAATGGTACCAGTGATACGAAGGTTCTGGATGACAACTGGGCCATCTGGACTGCTCAGGGGCTCAAAGCTGAAAGTGGTTGAGCTGAGAGGACCAGGTGGAGAGGAAGAAAGTGGAACTGATGGCAGAGTTGGATCAAGGGAGCTCATATCATTGATGAGATCCTTATTATCTAAGCACGAGGGTCGCAGGGGCTGAATCTTTTTTGGCTCCTCCAACAAAGCTGTAAGAGAGGTGTCATCTCCTTGCTCTACCTCCTTGTCTGCTGTGTCAATTTGGATCTCTGGGCAGGAGTTCAGCATGGAGACCAGCAGGCCTGTTTCTGTCCCTGACCCCTCCTCAGTCTCTGCTCCTTCATTGCCCTCGGATCCCTCACCTTCCTTTTGTTCCAGAGCCTCGGAATCCTCTAAGGCACATAGGGCATCCTGGATCCGGTCAGAGAGGAAGTTGCCTGGGGTCATGAGCATGATAGTTTCTTTGCTCAGTTCAGACAGTGGAGACTCCAGTTCTGAGTCTTCACATAAGAACAGGGGGCCTCGAATATCTGGCTGTAGGAAATGAGATGAGTTGTTTCCTACTTTTCTTTCTTCAAGGATCCCAGCCATATCTGCCTCTACAGCTTCATGGCCTTCTTCAATCTCTGGGGAAGGGCCTGGCTCACTACAGTTTAGGAGCACAGAGGCTTCTATTGGAGAAGGGGCTCTTCGTTCTGGCAGACTTTCCACCTCAACAATCAGTGGTAGAGATGTGGGCACTGAGTGCTGTTCCAAGGAACTGGGTGGGAAGAGTGATTTATCTATTTTTGTTGAATCATTTCTGGCCTTGGAAAAGATACCCACAAGTAAAAGGTGAATCCAGTCAGGATCTGACAGCTTGCTGATCAATGGTAAGATTACATTGCAAGTAATGAGTTCAACCACCACATGGCGTCCAGTTCTAGTCTCCAAGTGGGGCTTGGGCACCAGCCCTTGAAGTAATAAATTCACAATGCCACGGGTATAGGTGACCTCTGTACTAGGATTGTGCATAGCAGGATGTGGGGCAGTAACCTGGCAATAAGCCTCCCAGAGCTGGGAAGGCTGGACTGGACCACTCTGCTTCTCTATAAAGGTCTCCTTTGCCTGAATGTAGCTCTGCAGGTGACAACCACAGAGAGTCATAACTCTCTGGGCAAGAGCACGACTGTTCACCATACCCATCCTCCTCCGAAGTTCCTGCACCAACCCTTTCATAGCCGCCTCCATCTCTTCCTCAAAGGCTGGCTCCTGGCTCACTGAACGATACCAGGATAACACAAAATCTCGAATAATCATTTGGATGGTGCTGTTGATCTCCTGCTCCAACTGCCTTTCTGCCTCAGGGCATGGAGGGCAGGTGGCCACTGGGATGAACCTTTCCAGGTGTAGTCGACCTGAAAGCCCCAAAATGGAGCTGGAGCCTACCCATCCTCCCAGCACCACTAGCAACGCTGAGAGAAGACACAGAAGCCACACGTTAACCAGAAGGTGGATAACTAGAAGCCAGCCAAGTAAGATCCCCACAATCATCAGCTTCCGGCTACCCCACAGATTATTTAAATTACGTAAAGACTGGGCAGAGGTCTCCTGGATAGGGGACACTGTGTTGGCCTCCATGGCTGAACGGCTCAGGTAGCTTCCCCCCAGATGACAGCCCTCTATTTTACTTAAGTATCAGGAAAGGAGGCAGGTACTGTGTTCCAGATACAAGAAAACTGGGGTTCTCTACAGAGAACCGGCAGGGACTTCGGGCCCTTGAAGTCCTACAGGCGCTGCAAAGCGACAGCTGCAGCTCTGCTTCTCCCCGTCACTACTGTCAACAGAACACTCCAACTAGCCGCTTCCAGCGGAGATGCAGTTTCCGAGGAAAGCTCTGCGGCCTTCATAGTGCCCCAGGCGGAGCGCCTCTCTGCAGCCTCAGAGAGGGCGGTGCAGGGCCGGCTGGGTCCCACACTCACTTACAAACGCCGGTGCTGCGGCCGGCCGGGGGCGGGTCACACGTCGCCAGGGGCCCCGCGTCCAGTCTGAGACTCCGCCTGGAGTGGACTCATTGGGGTTCCCGCCGACAGCCTCAGCCCGCAGCCACCGCAGGCTAGGGCGGCTAGGGCGACCGTGTTCTGCAGCGCCGACTGTGCCAGGGCTGCCGGCCGGCCAGCAGCCGGCGACAACTTCCGGGTCGTGACGGGCAGGAGCGAGGCATGCTGGGAGAGCGGCTGCAAGCGCCGGGAGAAGCGGCTCTGCAAGGTGCCCCCTGGTGGTAAGAAGCCGTTGTGACGGTCGGTCTCCACACCTGAGAGCTGCAAAACTTGTGCTCCCCAAGAGAGGACAAAAATTCCATGTGTCACTAAACCACTGTGGCCATGAGGCAGTGACTCGCACGCTCAGATTTCTAGCGTCTTTAAGGCGAGTTGCAGCTCCAGTTTTTTCAATTTTGTTTGCAAACACCCCTTATACTTATGCACATTCTTGATCCCGCTTATTTTAATCCCATGGGGTCATATTTCATGGGCCTCTTGGATTAAAAAAGTTCACCCCCTTTCTTCTGAACCACTCTCATTCACACTGAATCCCTAATTCACAGCCTACCTCACTTGTTCTCAATAATTGAAAAATACAAGTCATAAAATATGATACAGGGACAAATTTATTCTTTTAATTCTATGTACTGCATTATGAAATCAAATTTGTGTTTTGGGGTTATTTGCTAATGTCATTGCTCAAACAGTTATATATTTTGAGCATTTGCTATGTTTAGGTGCTATGATAGGTAGTTTAGGGAAATACAAATGATCCTTGTCCTCAAGACCCTTGTAGCTAATTGAGTAAATGACTACCTTGAACATAAATAGATATTTAATTATACACATCAGTATGTGATATGGTAACTTGCAAAATATTACAGGTATTCAGAGGAAGGAAAGATCATGGTTGGTTGCAAAGGTCAAGGAGAATTTAAATCTAGAAATTTTTATGTTCGTTTGGTGTGAAGCCAATTTCCTTCCACACCTTGGCCCTTCGGAATGCTGTCTGTAATGTGGCTATCCTTTTTATTTTGGCATAGAGTATATATCATTTGCATAAAACTGGTATGGTTGCCCATCTCCAGCATTCTCTATGTTGTTAGCAGCCTTTTGTCATTATAGAATTTACTTTCTAGATGTAAAGGAAAATCTTCTGGCCAATTCCAATAAAAACTGTGCCAACAAGAAGCATATTTCAGCTTGTTCTCTCATTTCCATTTCTAGTGTTGGTGCAAAAATTCTTTTTAATACAACCATCATTTATATGTGAGGCATGGTTTATAGCTAACCACTTCTAATGCAAATGGCGCAACTTTGGATGGAGGTCTCCGTTAAGCTGATTGGGAATCTCCCTTAAATCCCAGAATGTCGGTCCACATTCCACAGTATACTCCACTTCAGTGCCACTCTCCTTCCTGTGGAAAAGGAAAGAGAAGTGAACACTGACTCTCTTTCCCTTTCCAGACCATGCCATTGTTCTCAGGAACAATTAGATGATGTCAGTGATGACCTGGAGAAATATCCCTGCCACCTAGTTGAGGATTAAAATAAAAAAGAGAATGATGAAGGGTTTAATGATGCTGCTGCTGTAAAAATTGCATGGTGGCTCAGAGAGAAAGTTTACTCTGCAGCATGATCTGGAATGTTCAGGGCAATAAGGAACTGACCTTGTAAGTGGGCACTATGCCACCTGACCAGATGGTCTGGGGCACTGAAGTATCCAAGAGTGTCTTCCTGATTCTGAAGCGAATTTGATGGACATGCCAATGCACTTGTCATTTGGACAGGTCTGAGTTTCTGCCCAGGGGTCTGGGACAGTTCTGAGTCTCCAAACAGATTAATCACTGGGTAGAGGTGAGTCAGGACTGATGTTCAGTGGTGTGTGTGTGTGTGTGTGTGTGTGTGTGTGTGTGTGTGGAAAACTGTCTGTCTGGCCATACTGCTCAGTTTCTTGCAGAGTCCCTCCTTCTCTTATCATTTCTCAAAACATTAACAGCATAATGCCAGATTGGTAGGAATAATAAGATAAATAAGACACAGTTATTCATCTCAAGGGACTCTCAGGCTAGTTAAAAGAGAGACAAATAGAGAAATGTAATTAAGCATGATCTCAAGTTTTATGTGGTGTGCTACTATAGTTGCCAATAGAAGAATGTACAATAAAAAAGGAACTCAAAGGAGGGATGGTAAACCAGGGAATTGAATAGTTCGCAGAAAGTTTACTCATAAGTTGGTAAATGCAAGAGAAGTAAGTGTATTTTAGGAAAATGTAGGGTAGAAAGTGCAGAGGCAAAGGGTGGGTACAGCATACATGTGAGAACAGTCAGGGACAATGAGAGAAAATGGCAGTGTGACAAGAGGCCAAGCTGGAATCAGTCCATGCCACACATTAATTTTCTCTTGAAAATAGAAAACAGAGTAACCTAATGAAGAGAGTTTCAGTGATGGATCAGGTGAGTGGAGAAAAAGTGATGGTGCAGAATTATTTGCTAATAAGGATTGAGGGCAGGCTGAGATTAGAGGTCATGCTTTTGTAGTGGTGCAATATACATTGTTGAGTTGTTTTCTCCTGAGATATTTAGTGTCCTCAATATAGGAAAGATACAAGCAGGAGACTGGTAAATTACCATGTTGTGAGTATCAATGTAGATGAAGAGAAGTAAGTGGTTAGAATGTTGACATCCCCAAAGGAAAGGTGCTAAAATTGAAAATCATGGTGTCTAGGTGTCATAAAAAGGAAATAAAGCCAGGAGAAAGATGAAAAATTGTGAAAACAGGGTTTAGTGATCTGGAAGTGGAGTGAACAAGACAGAAGAACAAAGGTTTGTGGTTGGAGATTAGGCCGTTGGCTCCTATGTTAGCTTCATCTGGCTGCTCTACCAAATTGCCACCAACTAGTGACTTACAGCAACCTAAATTTATTCTCTTACAGTTCTGGAAGTCTGGAATGAGTTGTCAGAGACATGCCTCTTCTGAAGGGAAAATCTGTTTTCTTGTTCTTTCCAGCTTCTGGAGGCTACCTTTGGCTCATGTCCCCACATTACACTGATCTCTGTTGTCACATCTCTTTCTCTGACCCTGATGCTCCTGTCTCTGACCTAAAAGTTCCTTTATTATTATACTGGGTTCTCCTGTACAATCCAGTATAATTTTCACATCTCAATACCCTTAACTTAATCAAATCTACAGTTTTAGCCAAGTAAAATTACAGAGTCACAGGTGCCGAGGGTTAGGTGCAGGCAGGCAGCGCTTGGGAGGGAGCACTACAGAGCTTAGGTAGTTAGATGTTTTTGATGATTAAGTCTGGTTGTGGCCAAATAATAATCTCCCGAAGTAGGTTCCAGATAATGTGTTAGGCTTGAGCAAGGAACGTTGCGTCTGCATGTTTGAGAAGGATGGTCTTCCAGAGCCTGGAAGTCATGTTAGGGAGGATGGTGATCTTGGGACAAAGGTTCTCAACGAATGAGAACGACCAGGAGGTTGAAGGACGATGAAGTAAGCGTAAAAGATGCTGGCAATACCAACACAGTAGGAGGAAGTTTTCTATGAGTCCCAAAATGAATGATCTGAAGGAAACCCTAGGATGTTGCCAAGAGCATTTCCACATCTTGCCTTAGACACAGTGATGGGGAATAAATGGCCACCAGAGGGCAGCAGAGAGCACAGCAGCTTAAGGGGACATTTGCCTGGGGCTTGTTCCTCTGCTCCTGAATTCTTACTTTCATCTTATTCATTCGACAAGGATGAAGCTAGTTATTAGGAATTCAAAGATAGTCTTTATATAGTTTCTTTTCTGAATTCACAATCTACTATTAGAGGTAGATCTTGACACAATGAAAAAGTAGTATAATAGAAATATGCCAAAATGTTGCACAGAAGAGATGTCATTTGAATCGGCCTTGAAGGATGGGTTAAATATCCTATGAATAAGAGAGGAATGGGTCATTCTGGGAAGGAGGAAAACATTTGGAATTCTGCATAAGCTCCTGTGTTAGTTTACTAGGGCTCATAACAAAATTCTACAGACAGAGGGGTTTAAACATCAGCAATTTCTCACAGTTCTAAAGGCTGGAAGTCCAAGATCTAGGTGTTCATAGGTTTGATTCCCTCCTTGGCTTGCAGGTGATCACCCTGTCACTGTGTCCTTGCAGGGTCTTTTTTCTCTGCACAGGCATTTCTATTGTCTTTTTTCTTTCATAAAAGTCATGTGGGTTTATGCCCCGATCTTATGACCCTGTTTAACCTTAATTACTTTTTATGTGTCTCATTTCCAAATATAGTCACATTCTGTGCTGTACTGGATGTTAGGACTTCAATAAGTGAATTTTGAAGGAACAGGACTCAGTCCATAATGGTTCCTTTCTAGTTGTGGGTGTTGTGAATGACCATGTTTTGATTATCAGAGTACTGTAAAAAAAAGATGATAACTTAGTTTCCAATACTTGTTTTAAGAGATCTAGGATTAACTTTCACACTAGGCCTTATACCTTATTAAGTTCCCTGGATGACCCTCCCACTAAAGAACAACTAGGTATTAAAGATTAAACACCTTGTGATGAATTAATATATTCATGAGAGGATTCAAAGTAGGCAAGGAGTCCAAGATACACTTATCTTATCTGCAAACAAACCTGAACAAGACAGACAACCAACTCTGAGAAGAGTGGGAGAGGGAATTGTGAGTAGTGAGTAGTGGGCAGATGAAAGGGTTAAGGTGGCCCCAGGGACGGATGCCTTACCAGAACCACAATCTGCTCTGAGGCTTGCTTTAGCAGGGGGAAAGTGTAATTAAGCTCCTGAATTCTATTTTGAGCCACAACCTTGGGTTGGGGGTGTTGAAGAGATCCTAGATCGGTGGAAGCTCCTGAAATACATATAAATCATTTCTGGAAAAAAATATTATTTTAAGACCATGAAATAATACAATGTGAACTACAAATTCAAGGTCTTCAAATATATAGGAAGGCAAGCTAGGATGAGTGAGAATTAGGAAAAAAATAAATAAATAACAGATTTAGACTACCAGGACCCTGGATATAGAAATTGTCTGATACTAAATATAAAAATCTGTGTAAGAACTCCAGA